CGAACCTGCCCAATCCGCATCTATATACACCTCAACCCCTCTCTTCTCATTTTTCTTGAAGAAGAGTCATTTTCCTTTCCTGGTGTGCCTTTTAGATACTTAAGTATCTGATACACAGCTTCAAGATGTTCTTCGTACGAGGAGTGCATAAATTGACTCACCATGCTCACAGCGAAGGCAATATCAGGACGTGTATGTGACAAGTAAATCAATCTTACAACCAGCCTTTGGTATCTACTCGTATCTACTGGAACCCCATCTTTAACTTCTCCAAGCTTAGCATTAACTTCTATCGGAGTGTCTGAAGGTTTGCAACCACTCATTCCAGTTTCTTTCAAGAGATCTAGAATATACTTTCGTTGCGAAACCACAATTCCCTTCTTTGATCTTGCCACTTYCATTCCAAGAAAGTACCTTAGCTGGCCTAAGTTTTTAATTTCGAATTCCTTGGCTAAGCTCTGCTTCAGTCTGCTCATCTCTTCAATATCATCTCCAATCAAGATTATGTCATCAACGTAGACAATCAGAACTGAAACCTTGTCTTTGGTGGATCTCTTTGTGAAAAGAATATGATCAAATTGTCCTTGACTATATCCTCGACTTTTAACGAACCTTGTGAATCTTTCAAATCAGGCTCTGGGAGACTGTTTAAGTCCATATAGAGACTTTTTTAGCTTGCATACCTTAGTTCCAAACTTCTCAGTGAAACCAGGTGGAGGCTCCATATATACTTCTTCCTCCAAGTCTCCATTCAAAAAGGCATTCTTCACATCTAGCTGATTCAGTGGCCAGTCAAGATTAGTTGCAACAGATAAGAGTACTCGAATTGTATTTAGCTTCGCCACTGGAGAAAAGGTCTCAGAGTAGTCCACTCCATATGTCTGAGTAAAGCCTTTAGCTACTAGGCGAGCCTTGTATCTCTCCAATGATCCATCTGATTTGTACTTCAGAGTAAACACCCATTTACAACCAACAACTGTCTTTCCAACCGGCAGATCCACCTTCTCCCAAGTAGCATTCTTTTCCAAAGCTCTAATCTCCTCAAAAATAGCTTCTTTCCACTCAGGAACATTTAGAGCCTCCTGAATACTGTTAGGAATGGATACACTAGACACTTGTGAAATAAAGGCGCAATATGAAGGTGAAATATTTTTGTAAGATACAAAATTTGACAGAGGATGTTTTGTACAAAACCTAACACCTTTCCTAAGAGCAATGGGAAGATCAAGCTGACTAGAAGAATCAGAATTACCTGGAGGAATATTTTCAGGAATCTTTGAAGAATTATCATGAATTCCATGATCCAACCTCTGATCAGATTTTTGTTGATACTGCGGAATAGTGCCTCTCCTTTTCTGTGCTAGATATTCCCTTGAATATACAAGGCCTTTATACTGTTTCGCACGCATCTCTGTTGTTTCAGCTTTTTCATTTTGAGATGGCATTACCAAAGGTTGTTCATTGGTAGACTCAACTGTTTCAATATTTAATTCATTTGTTTCCACTAATTTGTATTTTCTGCTTCACTTTCTTTCAGTGACCAGTTGTGAGGATCATCATTATGGACAAATTCAAACATTAAATCAGAACTATCTTAAAAACCATTTTTACTAGTGTTGCTCTCCCCTGAAAATGAGAGTTGTTGTAGTATGAGGTTCCCTCAAAGAAGTTGACATCCATAGACACAAACATCTTTTTCAAAACTAGATCAAAGCATTTGTAACCTCTCTGATTAGTGGGATAGSCTACAAAAATACATTTATGTGCTTTTGGATCAAGTTTTGAACGTTTGGGGTCATGGTTATGAACAAAGGCCACACTTCCAAAAATTTTTAAGGGAATGTTTGTCACTAGCCGAGAATTTGGAAAACAGTCAGTGAAAACCTGTATGTGTGTTTTAAAATCCAAAATTCGTGAAGGAAGTTAGTTAATCAAATAAGTGGATGTTAAAACGGCTTCTCCCCAAAGATACTTAGGAACCTTWGTTTTAAAACTTAGAGCTCTAACAACTTCAAGGAGATGTTTGTTTTTCCTTTYAGCCACCCCRTTTTGTTGAGGTGTATTATTACACGAACTTTGGTGTATAATTCCTTTCTCAGCAAAAAAATTCCCTAACACATTGTTAAAAAACTCCTTTCCATTATCACTTCGAAAATTTTTAATCTAAGTCTGAAATTGTGTTTGAACCATGTTGTAGAAATTTTGAAACGCAGTTTCAGCATCAGATTTCTCTTTTAAAAAGAAAACCCAAGTGACCCTAGTATGATCATCAATAGAAGTAATGAACCAACGTTTTCCAAAAAGAGTTGTCACTCTAGAARGACCCCAAACATCACTATGAATCATGGTAAATGGTTTTGATTTTTTATATGGTTGAGACGGAAAAACAGCACGATGATGTTTTGCTAAATCACAAGATTCACACTGAAAAACTGAATGATTTTTATTCATGAATAACTTGGGAAATAGATGCTTTAAATATTGAAAGCTAGGATGTCCTAATCGATAATGCCATAACAAAATT